ATACATTTCAACAAAACCATTATACCCTGATTTCCCATTTTCAATGGGTTCAGGGTATAATGAGAGTGTAGAGTAGAAAATGAGAGTGATAGAAAAAATTAAACTTCAAAACAAGAATCCAGTGAGATTGCTTTAGTGGGGTGTACCTGACTAGATAATATGTTTACCCCTACACTCAGCATTCAATCATGCTATTCATCCACTTTTACTCATATGTATCTTTTGTTCTAGATGGCAATTCTCAAGTTTTCAGAGCATATTGATGATATTTATATGTGTGGCATCTAGTATGAAATATATTTTTGTAAGTTTAAGGGAACAACCTATGATATTCATATGCAAACTATAAGAAAAATGGCTGTAAATTCATTGGTGGAAACTTGACAAAGATGTTTCTTTGTATTCTTGGTGGTATGAAATCAAAGCTTAAAATGGAAATTAAATTAATAATAAGGAGACAAACAAATCATAATGATAGACTCGCCGTGTACTATACACTTCCATCTGCCTGATCATTTAAGATCGTCAAAGGAACTCTAAGGACTTATCTAAAATTCACGACTCAAATTCAAACTTTTCCAGCTACCTTCGTTTGCTTTTCACTAGAATATGAAATTATTTATAGCTCAAATATGTTACAGTTCATATATTTAGTATATTAATATCATTTACAAATTAGTAATGCGCGTTCGATTTGGCTGTGCCTCCGAGCTGATTAGATATTAGATATTAGACAATAACTATAATTCGATTATTGCATGACGTCAACATTAGATGGCCTAGCACTGATTAGATATTCGACTAACAAATGTAACTATCGCATGACATCAACTTTACGCTCAATTCGGCTTATATACCCATTTCAAGTGTTAAATGATTTATGCACACCAATATTTTTCGGTTTGTGTATTTTTATTGTTCATTATTATTGTTGTCAATAAATTAGAGTTATGCATATATAAATTAGCTTAGGTCTAACTAAATAATTGCAGCTGTGGCTGGGCTCAACCAGCGCCCTCAATTGGCTAAGTCTCGCTCTCTCTCCCACTCTCTGTGGCTACCTCTCTCGCTCTCTCTGTCTGCTTAGTAGCAGCTGTAGTGTCTTTCCAGCTGAATGCAAACATCACATTGCAGGCGAAAGCCCCAGACCAGCTTGCAGTTGCAGCGCCGTTCGCTGCGCAGGTGCTGGGATCGCACGCGGAATCCACAGACGCGGCAGAGCTGCTGGCAGGAGAGGCGCTCGTCGGCTGTGCTGCCCGTGTGCTTGGAGCACTGGCGTCCACGGGTGCCGGTCCAGCGCCCGGTCGCCTCCGGCTGGCAGTAGTTGGGCGAGTCCAGCATGTAGACTAGCGAGTCGAGCGGTATGTTCTCCCACATGATCTTCAGGTTGCTGGCGGTCGTGTCCAGCTGTATGGCGTCGTCGTACATGTTGAGCAGGTCCTGGGCAATCGATTCGAATGGCTTGAGCACCTGCACGCACTTCTTCTCCAGGCAGCTGCCCTGCGGATCGTGCTGGATGCAGCGGCATTCCTGCTCCAGCGACTTCTCCAATAGCGCGCCCACCACGCGCTGATTGTGGCCCAGAGCTCCGGAGCCCACGCCGTAGCGCTTCTCGTACAGCTGCATGGCCTTGGCCGGCTCGTGGGCGCAGGGCACGTTGAGGGCGCTGTCGGTGCAGCCGCAGCCGGCGATGACGCCATTGGCGCAGTCCTTGGTGAGCGTGTGCAGGATGGAGGCCAAGGAGATGGCAGCCACATAGACGTCCTCGCGATCCAGCGCCTGGGCTGGAGTGGGCGACGTGCGCCGCCTGACAAAGTCCTGGTTGGGGCAATTCCAGCGCTGCCACTTGAAGCTCCGCTGGCAGCTGGCGATGGCCTGGTCCAAGCTGCTGCTGCTGATGGCCTCCCAGGAGAGCGGCGCCTGGAACTGTGTGTACTGGTAGTAGTTCAATGGCTCCGTCAAGCTGGCAGCCGTAGCACTGCTCGCCAAGCTCAAGAATATTTGTATGATATAAAACATGGTGTTCTCTGGTTGTGTGTGTGTGTTCTCGTTGCTGTCGCTAGGTCGACTGTGTCCTGGCTGGAGCCAAGCGCTCGATTTTATACCCGGTGTAGGAACTGTGGGCCGTGGGAAATACGAGACGAGATCAAAAAACCGGAAATTTGCCTTTTTTCCACTTGGGACTTTTTCATGAACAGAAGAAACTCCCAGCGCGTCGCACAAATAACCCAACAGATCCCGGCGATCCGATGCAATTGCGGAGCAGCCCAATTTCGTAGCGTTCTACCTGTGAGGCCGAGGCGACTGAGACGCTCTTGGCCGTCGTGTCATCAACTTTCCCACGCTTAGGCAGGTAGATGTCCTGCGGCGCCTGAACGTGCTCATGAATGAAACTCAATCGATTCCATTCAGTTTCACGGACTTACCCAACTTCCCGTACTCTGGCTGCAGTCCCTCGTCCCTGTGTTTTGCCAACTCGACTGGCAAAGCCAATTATATAACAAAACATATGACAAATAATACAATTTGGAAAATTAATTGCGCTTTGTGGTAAGCTGTTTGTGAATCCCGCTAACAGTTAACAGCCTGCCAGACCGATTTCGTTGTCCTGGTATTACCGGATCTCTCGATGCGTCCGGAAAGCCATGAGTCAATCATCGAGTGTAAAGTTCACTATCAATATATCATCAGAAATCAACACGCTTTTAGTATTTAATCGGAAAACAAAGAGCGTAGGAGAGTAGATGGGAAAACGTATTGGGCGAATACCCTGTAGGCAATGAAAGGGGGTGTATTACACTTATATGTAAGGCTAATAACTTGTGTGTATCATCTGAAAATTAATAGAGTTTTGCTGAACAAAATAAATAAACAGAGTATCCACAGTTGTCCCATAGGGCATCTCATAGTCAGAGGTATCGATCAACATATGATTAGGCAATATATATTCATGTAATATTGATAACACTAAAGCTTACTCATATCGCTGGTCTATCTAATCCCAATTTATAGCACCATTTGAAGAGGACTGGCAACAATATTATTGCGAAACATCTACAAATTTGTTGAGAGCGAGAATGAGAGACTTCCTTTACTTTAATGGGTGGCACACTTTTTCCTAGTGGTAAAGTCATTGTCTTACATTTCCCCAGTCGTCCGTCTTAAAAACATGCGCGGAAATTTCTTGTTTTGGGTTTTAACACAATGAAAATACCAAAAACTCGCTATCTCTAATTAGGCCGAGAATTCCGTACCGGAAAAGGGTTTTTTAAGTACCTAAGGCGCCGGGGTAAATACACAAAAACGAAAGCCGATCCGATCGATCGATCAGGTAGTCAAAGATTGCTCAATTGGTCTTACAAGAGATATACATTTACATATAGGTATATACACATATGGGCGCCGGCGCTAGGGAAAGTTACAATGCTGGCGCCGGGAGTTTCTCAAAAATTGTTCTCGAAATATTGGAAATTCGCGCAGATTTTTGGCATTTCTCAAATCTAATCAATGCGTAAAAATTGAAGCCCGCTAATACGGCCATTTGGAATGGAGTGGCCCGTAAATAAGCTAGATCATTAAAAATCTATAGATACACAGAGTGACAGACTGAGAGAGAGAGAGAGAGAGATGGAGAGAGAGACTTGTGATACCGATTAGATTAGCAACGAGATATCAGTTCTCGGGCTGATGGTTACCTCTCGCTAGTTTTCCGTAGTCAGCGCTTAGTTGCGATTTGAATGTCGCCCGATTTGGATTAGCCCGCATCGTTCACGTCGATATGATTATAACTGCTAAGGTGGTTAGCATTTGCCTGGGCGTGGCACTAACTGCCTTCACCGTCTCCACAATCGTGCTGGCCGTGCAGAAGGCGAATTTGACGGCGGATTTGCGTGATGCACAGGAGAAATTAGATCAGCTCGAGGCTGGCTTCACGTCCACCACGGCTGTACCCAGTTCCCCGTCTGACAGCACCACTGTGGAGCCGAGTCCCACAGCACCGCCGGAGAAAATCGACTATCGTCTGCCGACTGCATTGACACCCACAAACTATGATCTCTATTTGTATCCGAATATCGAGACGGGCGAGTTTACGGGCGAGGAGACAATCAGCATAACCGTAAACGAGGCCACGGATAAGATAGTGCTGCACTCGCTGAACTTGAATATCAAAAGTGCGCACGTCTATCAGGCGATCGAGCCAACCATTGCGGTCAAGGACTACGAGTTCGATGCGGTTCGCGAGTTTCTCATCATCCACTTGACTCAGGGTCTAACCAAGGGCGCAACTGTACTGCTCACCCTCGAGTTCTCCGGCAATATGGAAAACAAAATTGTGGGCCTGTACAGCTCGTCCTACGTGAAGGCCGATGAAAGTCGCAAAAAGATAGCCACCTCCAAGTTCGAGCCGACCTATGCCCGCCAGGCGTTCCCCTGCTTCGATGAGCCCGCCCTGAAGGCCACCTTCGAGATCACGTTGGTGCATCCGAAGGACGGCGACTACCATTCGCTCTCCAACATGAATGTGCAGGATGAGCAGGAGAAGGACACCTACACAGAGGTGCGCTTTGCTAAGAGTGTGCCGATGAGCACATACCTGGCGTGCTTCATTGTCTCCGACTTCAAGTCGAAGACTGTGAAGATCGATACGAAGGGCATTGGCGAGCCCTTCGACATGGGCGTCTATGCCACACCCGAACAGATCGAGAAGGTCGCCTTTGCCACGACTGTGGGCAAGGGCGTCATTGAGTACTACATCGACTATTTCCAAATCGAGTATCCGCTGCCCAAGCTGGATATGGCCGCCATACCCGATTTCGTGTCGGGCGCCATGGAGCACTGGGGTCTGGTCACCTATCGGGAGACGTCGCTGCTGTACGAGGAGGCCACCAGCTCCACGGTGAACAAGCAGCGCATTGCCAGCGTGATTGCCCACGAATTTGCACACATGTGGTTCGGTAATTTAGGTATGTCCACTCCAGATAAGCGGCGGGATTAGCTAGGCTAATATTTCATTTCGTATCGTTTTTATATTCGGTCTGATATCAGTTACTATGCATTGGTGGAATGATTTATGGCTGAACGAGGGCTTCGCCAGCTTTATTGAATATCTGGGCGTGGATTCCGTCTTTCCCGAATGGAATATGGCAAGTCTTGGCGCTATAAATAACTTTCTATTTTTGTGATGTGGGTTTAGTCTAATTCTAATTATTTTTCTAGCGGGATCAATTTATTGTGAGCACTTTGCATTCAGTGTTCAACCTGGATGGCACTCTGGGCTCACATCCCATCATTCAGAAGGTTGAGAATCCCGATCAGATAACGGAGATCTTTGACACCATTACGTATTCCAAAGGCTCCTCGCTGGTGCGCATGTTGGAAGATTTTCTGGGCGAGACAATCTTTCGCCGGGCGGTTACCAATTATCTCAATGAATACAAATACCAGAACGCCGTAACGGGCAACTTCTTTGCCGAGATTGACAAATTGGGGCTGGACTTTAATGTGACGGACATCATGCTGACATGGACGGTGCAGGTGAGCGTGTGCTGTAGATAGATGATCATGATGACGATGATCGGCTAGTTGTGCAGCAAACTTCCCGATTTACATACACATCTCTAACCTAATTTTTATGTCTGCCGTGTTTTAGATGGGTCTGCCAGTAGTCACGATCGCCAAGGTTACCGACACTGAATACAAATTGACACAGAAGCGTTTCTTGTCCAATCCGAATGACTATAACGTGGTGCATGAGCCCTCGGAATTCAAGTAAATTTTCTAGTGTTATCTTTAGTTGATTTTTGGTCTCTCGATTGCTCACACATATATTATATGTACGATTGCAGCTATCGCTGGTCCATACCCATCACATATACGACCAGCCAAGATCCCACGGTGAAGCGCGAATGGTTTTATCACGATAAGAGCGAAAGTAAGTGATCAAATTGATTTGCATTGCTTATCTTATCGTTGGAATTGTTTCTGTTTTTTCCGTTTTTTACAGTCACTATAACTGTGCCCACTGCTGTGGATTGGATCAAGTTTAATTACGATCAGGTGGGCTATTATCGCGTCAACTATGATCAGTCCCTCTGGGCGTCGCTGGCCAATCAGATGGTGGCCAAGCCAGAGGCATTCAGCGCCGGCGATCGTGCCTCACTGTTGAATGATGCCTTCGCCCTGGCCGATGCCACGCAGCTGCCCTACGAGATTGCCTTCGACATGACCAAGTACTTGGCCAAAGAGATGGACTATGTGCCATGGAGCGTGGCTGCCTCCAAGCTGACCTCGCTGAAGCGCACTCTCTTCTACACCAGCAGCTATGCCAAGTTCAAGAAATATGCCACAGCTCTGATTGAGCCGATTTACACGTCGCTTACCTGGACGGTGGGAGAGGATCACTTGGATAAGTAAGTGGGGTTTTCATAGAACCTGAGCCGAAGGGGCATTAAGCTGAATTTTTAATTTTTAATCTAATCCGGGAGTTATTGAAAGGGGCAGATAAAACTAGCTTATCTAGAAATAGGAATGTAGAAAATTTTCGATTTATCGATTAGCATTATTCAATTACTTACCGAAACAATATGTATCGATAGTCAGTGTTGTTTCTTCTTTATTCACTTAACTCTATCTATGCTTCTCCCTCTCTCACCCTCAGTCGTCTACGTGTGACCGCCCTGAGTGCGGCTTGTTCCTTGGGTCTCGAGTCCTGCTTAACAGAGGGCGGACAACAGTTCAAGGCCTGGCTTGCCACGCCCGACAAGCGACCCAGTCCCGATGTGCGCGAGACTGTCTACTACTATGGCATGCAGTCGGTGGGCAACCAGGAGATTTGGGAGACAGTCTGGGAGCTGTTCATCAATGAGGCCGACGCCAGTGAGAAGTCGAAGCTGATGTATGGCCTGGCCGCCGTACAGGAGCCTTGGCTGCTGCAGCGCTACATCGATCTGGCCTGGAATGAGGAGTATGTGCGAGGCCAGGATTACTTCACCTGTCTGACCTACATCTCGGCCAATCCCATGGGCGAGTCGCTGGTGTGGGACTATGTGCGCGAGCACTGGCCGCAGCTGGTGGCCCGCTTTGGCCTGAACGAGCGCTACTTGGGCAATCTGATACCATCGATAACGGCGCGATTCCACACTCAAACCAAGCTCGAGGAAATGGAACAGTTCTTTGCCAAGTACCCAGAGGCGGGTGCGGGCACAGCAGCGCGCGTGCGTGCCCTGGAAACGGTCAAAAACAACATTGTGTGGCTGGCCGAAAATCTCGAGAGCGTCGATGCCTGGCTGGAGCAGCAACAGCGACTGAACTAGCCCCAAGCACCTGGCCAACTGGGGCAATTGTAGTGGACGTGCTCACAAAACAGAGTCACAAAGTTTTGTATTTTTTTTTTAATCATCGAATTGCCATTGTAAAGATTAGAGAGCTGCAGAGAAACCCACACATAACAATAAAGAAACTTTTAAAATGGATATCAGAATAGCTTCATAAACTAGAAATGCCAATGGGTGTTGGACACAGACTAAAGTCATGGGACAATGTTGCTTATTTTTTGCTAAAACAGCTTAGGAATAGGCGAAAATTATGAAATTATGTCATATGTTTCCCAAGGAGTCAGTCTTTTTCGTATAATACATATTCTAAAATTATTTGATTTATTTTAATATACATATGTATGTATATTCATAATATTCCTATTATGATTCTTTATCAATATTTATCGATAGGAAAATATGAGTTGATAAATCTGGGAATTTATAGAAGAGTGCAGATAATGAGAATGAGAATAAGGAAGGTAATAAAGCTCAACTCTAATGTGAAATTCAAGCAAAGTTCTTTTGCGATATTTATTGATATATTAAAATTCGAATTTGTATGAAGATATATTTCCTTTTTAGATATGTGTACGACATACTCCAATCGAATTGGTGTTTAAGAATCGATAATTACCGACATGGGAGTGATACAAAATCAATCAACTATAATGCATATAATATGCATTTAATACGAAACGAATGCATTTAAAATGGAATTCGAGTGTGAAGCTTTTCCGAAACTTAAGTAAAACTGCATACATTCAATATATTTATCTACATAATTTTTACAAGGTTTGATAATAGTATTATCATGCAACCTTTAGCTGAGGAGAATGATAGTATTTATCTTATCCCTAGGTATCTCTGGTATTTATAAGCATATATTAGTTTAGTATGTGGCATATATTGAGTTCAATCGTGCGCCGATATCTATATATGCCTCGGGTGTGACAGTCAATATTCAGTGAAGAATCGCCAGCCGATATCTGCAATATATTTGCATTGGGTGTGACAGCCAACATTCGCTTGAACATGCAAATCAAATTAGTTGCTGTCAATCGAGTCCGCTTATCGCAAGTGTTAACACGACACGCAAACAAGTTCGATAAGTGTCCGAATATATATTATCCAACTGTATCGGCTCTATTTGTGGGAGTTCGACAACTGACTGAAAGGTATTTAGTTCCATTATCGCCCTTGTTGGCCATAAAATTCTGTCAAGTGCCCACAATCAAACTGAATTACTGGCAGGCAAATCGACAAACTATGGTTATAGTCGATTAGTATATTCATGGCTGAATTGTGACCAACTTCTTCAGTTAGTGATCGTCGGTCGAGGCATCAAGATGTTATCGAACGGCTATGGATCAAGCGTTTTTCTGCTCTGCGCCGTTATGGTCCTCCTGGTGGGGGCAGATCTGCTAGATGTGAGGGAGAAGATTGATATAAACGAGACGCCAAACGATTCGCAGATCTACGGATCTAGCAGAGCAAGGCGCGAAACTAAAGAGGAGGTGGGTCTTACTAATATTAGGGAGTTTTTCACTTAGCTGATCAAGCATCAAATATCATTAAAGCAGATCGACTACCGTCTGCCCAAAACGGTTAAGCCCTCCAGCTATGAGCTGTATTTACATCCAAATTTGGAGGCGGACACCTTCATGGGCCAAGAGAAAATCCGCATTAATGTGCTAGAAACAACCAGACAAATCGTCTTGCACTCACAAGACCTGGTCCTGACCAGTGTCTATGTGGTGAATCGCGAGGTAGAGAACTACGAGTTGGATGAGCTGCGTCAGTTGCTGATTGTCAATATGAAGGAGCCCCTGGAGGCGAATGTTGTCGTCACGCTGGGCATTGTCTTCGAGGGAAAGTCGTTGGGCAAGCTGGAAGGACTCTACAGCAGCAGCTACTTAACGCCAGCGGGACAGCGTCGGTATGTGGCATGAATTCTATTTAATTGTGAGACAGCCTAAAAGCATGCCACAACTTTACAGCAAAATTGCGACGACCAAATTTGAGCCGACCTACGCCCGCCAAGCGTTCCCCTGCTTCGACGAGCCCGCCCTGAAGGCCACCTTTACCATCAGCGTGGTGCATCCCAACTCCGGCTCATATACAGCGCTCTCGAACATGAACGAGGAGGTAATACACCATTCATCTCAATATACAAATTTGCCCTCACATATTGATTTCTTGACAGGATTCCATGAATCTCGGCGAGGAGTCAATGGTCACGTTTGCCAGCAGCGTCCCAATGAGCACTTATCTCGCCTGCATCATTGTCTCCGACTTTGACTCACAGACGGGCAAGGTCAGTGCAAACGGAATTGGCAACGATTTTACAATGCGCGCCTTTGCCACGCCCCATCAGCTGCATAAGGTGAAGTACGCCTTAGATTTTGGCATCGCTGTCACCGAGTATTACATCAAGTACTTCAACGTGGAGTATCCGCTGCCCAAGCTGGACATGGCGGCCATACCAGACTTCTCCTCCAATGCCATGGAGCACTGGGGTCTGGTCACCTACAGAGAGACGGCGTTGCTCTACGACGAGAACTACAGTTCCACGGAGAACAAACAGTCTATTGCTAGTGTGCTGGCCCATGAGATAACCCATCAGTGGTTCGGCAACCTGGTCACCATGAATTGGTGGAACGACTTGTGGCTAAACGAGGGCTTCGCTCGCTTCATGCAATACAAGGGCGTGCACGCAGTTCATCCGGACTGGGGCATGGTAAGCTGATGTAGCACACAATATTTTAATATCTACATATTTCTTTATCTTTTTTCCAATTCATCCCAATTTAAGCTGGATCAATTTCAAATATTGGCTCTGCAACCCGTGCTCGTCTACGACGCCAAACTCTCCTCGCATCCCATTGTGCAGAAGGTGGAGTCTCCGAATGAAATTTCGGCGATCTTTGATATGATCAGCTATGAGAAGGCGGGCTCTGTGCTGCGCATGCTGGAGTCCTTCGTGGGCTCCGAGAAGTTTGAGGCTGCTGTAACTAGCTATTTGATCAAATTCAAGTACGCCAACACCGTCACGGATGACTTCCTTACCGAGGTGGCCCAGGTCAGCGGCTTGGATGTCAAGCTGTTGATGCGCACCTGGACCGAGCAGATGGGCTATCCGGTACTGAATGTACAGCGTTCCGGTGAAAATGCTTTCATGATCGAACAACAGCGGTTCCTCTCCAACAAGGACAGCTACGACGTTGTGGTAGATCCCGTTGAGTTTGGCTACAAATGGACCGTACCGGTTACCTACATTCTGGACAGCTCGCCGGCCAGTGAAGTCAACAGTGTTGTTTTTCCGTACAATGAAGATTCGCTGGGCATTGCCTTACCATCGAGTGTCAAATGGATCAAGCTCAACGTAAACCAGTTGGGCTACTATCGCGTCAACTACGAGTCCAGCATTTGGGAAGCTCTCATCCAGCAGCTAATGACTGAGCCGACGCGTTTCGGCGTCACGGATCGAGCTCATCTGCTGAACGATGCTTTCGCCCTGGCCGATGCCAACCAGCTCTCGTACAGAGTGCCCCTGGAGATGACCGCCTATCTGCCCGACGAGCGTCAGTTTGTGCCTTGGTATGTGGCTAGCAAAGGACTGCTTTCGTTGAGGGACCAGCTCATGTTCACCGATGTCTATGTGGACTATATAAGCTATGCACGCACTCTGCTGACGAATGTCTACAAGCAGGTCGGCTGGACCGTTGAGCAGGATAACCATTTGGGCAAGTGAGTAGCAGCTGAGAAAGTAAACCGTACAGCTCTAAATCTCTCTCTCTCTCTCTCTCTGCTTCTCTCTTCAAGTCGTCTGCGCATGTCTGTGCTGAAATTGGCCTGCGCGCTGGAAGTAAAGGATTGCCTGGAGCAGGCAGAGCAACGCTTCACCAAATGGCTCAACGCACCAACTGCGGAAAATCGCCCTGCGCCCGATCTGCGCGAAGTGGTCTACTACTATGGCATGAAGCAGACGAGCAACGAGAAAAACTGGGAGGCGCTGCTGGAGCTGTTCAAGGCGGAGTCCGATGCCAGCGAGAAGACAAAACTGATGTTAGGTCTGTCCGCTGTGCAGGACGCACAGCTGCTCTATCGTTTCTTGGACCTGGCCAGCGATGAGACTATTGTGCGCTCTCAGGACTATGTCACAGCTGTGGAAAATATCGCTAACAATCCTGTAGGCCAGCCCATTGTATGGGAATACTATCGGGAGAATTGGTCCACTCTAGTTGCCCGCTTTGGCCTCAACAATCGCGGATTTGGTAGATTAATTGCCAGAATAACGAGCAAATTTGCCAGTGAACAAAAGCTGCAGGAGGTGGAGTCATTCTTCGTTAAATATCCAGAGTCGGGAGCCGGCGCTTCGTCCAGGCAGGAGGCGATCGAGACCATCAAATATAATATCAATTGGCTCAAGGCGAATCAGAATGATATTGCCAGCTGGCTGGGCGGTTCGCCTTCCCCAATGACCTCTAAAAACCCATTGTAAAATACGAAAAAAATTTTCCCATATCCAATAAATGTCGATTCACCAAAAACATTTCCTCAATTACTCAGGGAATTGCATAATTAAGAGCCTATAAATCAATAAACGTTAACCAGTACCAATAAACCTTTGCATGCATTTTATTGATTATATCCCGAGTGGCGATTTTAATAGCATCAATAACTTCGATAAAAGTCTGCATGTCATACTCCGATTTGGACTGCCCACATTGGATATATATGCATTCCTGTTTTATGGCGTCCATATAACCTTAAAAGCCCCATTGTAATGATAGGCGCCTATCGTGAACCATGCCCGGCTTGGCCCACATATCAATAAACTGTCCAAATAGTTGAGCAGATGCCCGATTTTAAAGTTAGTTCAGTTTCAGACGCTTTGCGAAGTGGATGTGGAAATTGGGCTAAAAGCAAAGGATCTGTCTAACTAAAACATGGTTGCTTGTGAGTGCAAAGGAAAAATATATACATTCCTGATATGTGTATGATAATCGTTGGCCTCTCCATCAGGGCTAACGGTCAAGGCGGTGGCCATCTGCTTGGGCCTAACCACTGCCGCCTTTTGCGTAGCCACTATTGTGCTGGCTGTGGAGAATGCAAGCCTGGAGGATGATCTACAGGATGCGCTGGCTAAGCTGGATGTACTTTTGGGGGACACTACGACAATAGGACCTACCTCATCTGGAACAACGCCCACCTCGCCCGGTGGTGGGACCACACCCGGTGGAGAGACTAGCCCCGGCGGAGGTACCACACCTAGCGAAGGTACCACACCTAGTGGAGGTACTACACCTAGTGGAGGTACTACACCCAGTGGAGGTACCACACCTAGTGGAGGTACTACACCAAGTGAAGGTACCACACCTAGCGGAGGTACTACACCCAGTGGAGGTACCACGGCCAATCCAAGTCCCATATATCCTACGCTGCCCACCGGACTGCCTAATCCAGAAGAGGTATGTAGGTGCATTGTTTTATAGCCCTAAATAGACTGCCGTAAAGTCGGCATTAGCACCAATTCATATATTATCGTATCATATAGTCCGGTTTTACCGATTATCGATTTGGGGGTTTTATTCCCTTTTATCTTGACTGAAAAAGCGAAAAAGCATTGGTCAGCCGTTTAGTTCAGTTTAGCCGTAGTCAGTTGACGAATCGCTCATTCGAAATGGTCAAATTTATAGAAAATCTAAAGGGTGAGTCATAGCCAACACCCTCTAATTTCGTAGTCCTAAAATGTTGCAAGTTTGATCCCGTTAGATAAAATCACAGCGGAACGTGTGGCCATATTCTTTGGACTGCTGTCCACCTGTCTGATCGTCGCTCTGGTCACTGTTGTGGTCCACAGGGAGAGTCTGTGGATTGAGCTAACCGATGCAAGAGAGAAACTTGATGTTCTGGAGGATTACATACAGAACAAAGACCTTTCTAGCCTGAGAAATAAGTTTCCAAAGCATTTACGCAGTGAATTTTAGTTCCTAAAGAACTTGACAAAAATATGACCAATAAATAAAAACGTCTCGGCATGTATATACATGTATATTGCAGATATTATTTTAGCTTATTCAGTTCAGTTATTTCTAACGATAGCTGACCATTGATTAAGTTCTTTATCGCAAGCCTTATCATATCTTGTTACCAACCATGGATATTGACCACATATTTATTACTGCACCTAGATTGTGTATCGACTGCCAAGTGAGATTCGACCCATACGTTATCGCATCTACATAAATCCCGATCTGAAGACGGGCGCCTGTGACGGCACCGTCTCCATACAGTTCCAATTGGATGCCGTTACCAATTTGATAGTACTGCATGCCAAGGATTTGAATGTGCATGGCATTAGCATTTTGAATATGATGGCGCGCATGCGCATTGCCATCAAAACGTATTATGTGGATAATACACGGGAGCTGCTAATCATCGAGCTGAAGGAGGTGCTCAGCGTGAACAAGGCATATACGCTGTCCGCCAGCTTTGATTGCAAATTGGATAATCTAATTGGCTCCTACAGAAGCAGCTATGTGGATGAAGAAGGCAACGAGAGGTGAGTTTTGAATTTTAAGACATTTCAAACAGTGAGTACACCTAATAGTAGCTTGTGAAAGACAACAAAGCCGAACGTGCTGCGTTGAGTCAAAGCTTTGCGTTTCTGTTTTATCGAAAACTAAAACTAATTGAAACATAATATGAGTCAAACATCGTGAGCACAATTGCAGCTCTATACGCTCAAATGGTAAAGCTAATAAAAGACCAGAGTGCCAGAGTGCGTGAGCATAGTGCCATCTCTATATGCCCAATGCTCAATGAAGTGTCAGTGTGGTGGTGGTAAGCTGAGCGCGATTGTTCAATAAGCCGGTCTCAGCTGTTGAGCGAAGCTTTCGTGAGAGCTTGCACGCAACGGCAACTTTGACAGTCGCCTTTCAGTTGTAAGTTCAAAGCTGAACGCGACGGTCGTCGTCGTTTGTCAATGCGCATCGCTACACCGAACTCTGATCTCGTCTCTCGCTCTCTCGCGCGCTCGTACGAATGTGAAAGAAACGTGCGCGGCATCGATTTGAATTAAGTAAAGCAAAACAGATTAAGCCGAGTGCCGTTATCAAATAGAGCAGTTATTGGGCTGGGTTAATAATTTAGAGCACTCGAAATGAACTAGGCTGCCCTGACTCCGTCTAACTGTAACTCCTATGTAACTGTCACCACCGAATTTTTGCCAACCAACTGTAAACTACGATTTAAGAGCTACTGTGTGAGAGACTGACACATGTTCGCGTACGAGTGCAAATAGTGCGACAGAATACCGTTTATTTTTATCTTTTATTTATTTCGATTTAGTTTTTCTAACTAATGAACAAATTTATGTGTTGTCATTGGGGAGGGCAGTGCGGTGCTATCTAACTAATTGAGCGCATTGAGGCGTGAACTTCTAATACCTAGCCACAATAATAATAATACAACAACAAGAAGAAATAATAATAATAACAAGAAAGAAAGCTCTAGTCGAGACTGCTCGACTACGAGAT